CAGAGAAGGGGATCCGAACTCCTGACGACTTTACAGGCTGTATCCAGTACCATTCTGTCATGTAGACACTCCAAACTCAAAAGTCCACGGCCTCCATGTCGTTGGGGGAAGTACAACCGTAGAACGGACGATTTGAGATGCAAACTCCTATAGAGATGCATAATTTTTCGGGTTTTTACGTCGAGTTGATACAGCTCCTCCCGAGTCCACTTCACTACTCCAAACGAGTAGAGTAAGATTGGAACGGCAAGCATATTTGTTGCAGCAACTTTGTTCTTCCCCGACAGTTCCGATGACCAGATCTGTCAAAGTTGGTGCTGATACTTGCCGCGGAGAAACTTGTTCACTGCTGTTACCTCTGGTGAGTGGTATTGTTCCATCCCGAGGTAAGTATACGTCTCCAGATACGGCATCCAGATGGTGTAGGATACTTCCATCTACGAGCGGCACATCCTCTCCGTAGTCCCCGCATCGTCCTCTTTTGAGATGGACCATTGCACATTTGTCTATCCCGAATTTCACACCGATAGCATATGTGTACTTTTCCACCTCCCTCAAGGACTGTTGGAGATCCTTCTCTCCAGAGGCATGAAGTTTAAGATCATCCATATAAAACAGATGGGTGACCTTGTGCCTGGGTGCTATTATTATTAATAATGTTATTATTATTATATTACGGTGTAGTAGATTCACAAAAATTTACAAAACTTTGGAAACATTCTAATAGTCAACTGTGATTAAATTGGGATATTCTTCGGATCAGTAATCCAGAATTTTCTGCAGAGCTACAAACGCTCTAATATGACATCCAATGGTAACTTATGAGAATATTCTCGAGAATTATTGGATCATGAAAATGGGATATCCTTAGGAATCTGTGCCATCTGGGAAATCGTTAAATGTGGATGTTCCCATCAATAATTCGATGGCAACTATGTGATACCTAACTGATTTTCGTTAAGGAGAAGAATATTCAGTTGAACTAATAAATTCCTGCTCTACAGGTGGCAAACGTGTTAAATATTTGCATGATATTGAGGATAACCCAGTTAAATCGAAACATTCCTTTGAATGAACACCAGATCCACTCTGTACAACGCCACAATTCAATAGCGGTTACAGCATCTATAGCAACAACAACAACCTAATTACACGTCTCATTCAAATCGCGATGAAAATCAACAAAAGGGTCTTTCCGGTCGGCAATCGGAAATGAAGCGGGGCGCCGTAATAACGACACTTCTGGTATATTACCGGAAAACACGGAAAGCAATAGAGCAGCCGTACATTTCAATTGATTCGCATGCACAAGTGATTGGGTTCTAGTCGGTTTAAATCTAACGTTTAATCTTTAATTATCCCTGAAGTATTCGTCATTGAAACAATAAGTTATTATTAAGCAATTGACGATTTTTCGTGCGTTGCCTCGACTTTGTCATTAATAGAAATGTGTCTGGGTTAGTGAAAGCTGTTCCATAAATTTTGGCGGAATGTTCAACAAGGAGAGGGAAACGAAGTCGCGGAAAACGAGGAAATGTGTCAAGCTCGAAGAGTTGGTTTTGCCGAATGCCAAGTTGAAATTTTGCCCGGATCAGCTGCAGAATTTGAACTATATCATCAACAGAAGGCTGAATCAACAGTCGTCTTCAGTCACGGGTGAGGTATAAATTGAAAGCTCACTAGTTTATGACAGGTGATTTGATACACCTCTATACATCATAATTGCTCTCCACAGCATACACTTCAAATTATAATTTCAGAAGTTATCGCTTAATTGAAAGTATCGCGTGAGCAAATAAATACAAGCGACCTGACAAGCCTGTGAAACGCATAATGAAGAAAGATTGCAATTTTGTTTGTTTGATTTCACATAGTGGATCGGTTTGGAAATATTTTTGTTCAAAATTGAAATTGATTGTTGTGAATATACTTTTTGTTCGAGTGAATTTTATCAAACGTCATTATTAGAGTACTTGGGATAGAAGAACAAACTTTTAATTATGAGAGTCGATAAATGTCGCCAATACAAAATACAAAAAAGGTTTAAAATTATCCACATCGTTTTGATTGGCTTCCGGATTTTGCCGTGATCTTCTTTGGTTATAATCTCCAAACGTTTCAACTGCAACTGCGGCAGTTATCTTCAGTGGCGTGTCATGATATTACATGAGGCTGATATTTATACAGGGCCACAAAAATTCACCTCTGAGAATAGGAATCTCGAAAACTTCAAAGAGATAGAGACACAGTTGAATCTTGGTAATGAGGAAAAAAACCAAAAATATATTAATTCTAATTTTGACTTTATTATTTGCAGAGATATTGAAAATCAGTTCACATTTTGCAGAAGCCAATTTCATTTGACTATCAAAATATAAGAGCAAATTCCGAAACCTAAGTTAACTTTTCTAGAATATTTGTCTCAGAAACTTCATATGGCTTTAAATCATCAGTCCAATTTCAGCACATTTCTCTTGGTCAACAACGCGTATTTTCATTACTAATTCACCCCCGTTTGAATACCGCGAGAGCCAAAATGGGAAAAGAGCCCTTGTGTGTTCCAAGAACGTTGCTGCTCCAGGCCCAGATGGGCTGAACACTTATTGGTGGAAAAAACTACCAAGCACCCACCGCCATCTGGCCAGAGTTTTCAACTCATGGCTGGACGGAGAGCAGCCGATATAAAGAGTACACGCATGCTATCGGTATGAAATTCGGGATAGACAAATGTGCAATGGTACATCTCAAAAGAGGACGATGTGGGGACTACGGAGTGGATGTGCAGCTCGTAGATGGAAGCATCCTACACTATTTGGATGCCGGAGAGACGTATACTTACCTCGGAGTGGAATAACGCCACTCAAAAGAGGTAACATCAGTAAAGAACTCTCTCCGTGGCAAGTATCAGCACAAACTTCGACAGATCTAGTCATCGGAACTGTCGGGGAAGAACAGAGTTGCTGCATAAAATATGCTTGCCGTACCAATCTTACTCTACTAGCTTGGAGTAGTGAAGTGGACTCGAAAGGAGCTGTATCAACTCGACGTAGAAATCCAAAAAATGATGCATCTCTATAGGAGTTTACATCCCAAATCATCAGTTCCACGATTGTACTTCCCCCGACAACATGGAGGCCATGGACTTTTGAGTTTGGAGTGTCTACATGACAGAATTGTACTGGATATAGCCTGTAAAGTTGTCAGAAGTTCTGATTCCCTTCTCTGCTTAGTTCGTGACCATGAGAGAGCAGGAATTGAAGCATTTCTTTTTAGGGCAGCTGCCCGAGCAGCTGATGAACTCGGTTTACTTTTCGATACTGAACGAGGTGACCACAACTCTATCACCGAGTTGGAACCCGTTCAGCAAAAAGCTCATATAAAAGCCGCAGAGAGATCACCTCACTTCTGCGGAAACACAAGCATAAGCCAATGCAATGGGTCTTCTTCAATAACATTGAAGACCTTGGTTTATCAAAGCGCCTGACTTTCGCTTTTCTCAGGTCGAGTGGGCTGAAGTCGGAAACTGAGGGGTTCATATCATGGCTTACCAGGATGGTGTCTTCAACACCTTAATCTACCGCAGTCACGTGATGGGTATTAAGGTTCCTGACACAAGGTGCAGGGCCTGTCGCGCACTTGCTATCAGCATGTCCAGCATATGCGGTCTCGGCCTATATCCTTCGACATAACGCGGCCCTAAGAGTGCTGTATTACCATCAATGGCACTCTTACGGTATTGACGAGACACTGGTGTTGCCATACGCTCCGGGGGATATTTGTAGTGAAGTTTTCAGCTCCTGGTGAGACGAATATCGTCGGAAAAGAGGGGGAAAACGGATGAAGTATCGAGATTTTCTCTTCAAACTTCGTAGACTTTATCCAAAACAATCTGTCAAGATGGTTGTTCTGATTATTGGAGTCCTTGGTGTAATGATGCCCTCTTTACTCTCGAATCTTGAAATCATACCAGCTTGCCGCATTGAGGCAGAAATCTTATCCGGACATATAAGAACACTATCATCCTCAATGACGGACATCGATGTTTCGGAATGAGACACTTGTAACATTGTCTCTTCTGCACCATTACAAGATGAAGCACTCTATACATTCATTACATTACAACTTCATGTAGAAAGCTGAAGTAGAAAGCCAAAACATTTCTTTCTAATAATTATTCTCTCCTAAAAATATATACATACCCCTTTCAATCTGAATGAATTTTTATATTCACTATATTGTGACTATCATGAAACTGCGTCAGAAAATAACAGTTTTTCTTTCTCATTCATCATCATTTCATTCATCAATTTGAATATTATTTTCAGACAAATTACTTCCTCTTGCCAAATCTGTTAGCGAACGACTGGTCCAACGGTTGGTGTGTGGAGCAGGAATGTTGGATTCTAGATTTTCGTCGAAATACTTGATTTCTAATGATAATCATCGGACTGGTGTGAGTATTAGCAATTTTACAATATATTTCCGAATACATAAATTCAAATTAGTGATGATTCAAATTGGTCACCAACAAAAAAAATCATATAAAACCGAGTGGTAGATCATGATAAGTGCTTATCTATACAAAAATGTCAACGACAATATTCGGATTTTGAAATTGCCACATTTCTTCAGCTTCTTCATTATTCACTCTCAAACTATATGTAATACTTTGCACGCTGCACTTATAAATTGGCCAAATCTCAATAAATTGCGACAGAATTTGCATTTGTTGTGGTTGACAATGTTTTGACAGAATCAGAATCAACGAACTTACTCGTGCGCAGCGTTATAGAACAGTGCTTTCAAAAAATTGTTCTACAGCGCCATCTAGTGGCGAGTTACAGAAAAATTGATAGTCTAAAAACCTTCTCTATGAAAAATTATTTATACATGTCAAGTTTCATCACGATCGGTTGAGCGACGTAGAAGTTTATCACTTAAGAGGAGTAATACTAAGTGAGAAACAACTGTATACCGAAAACCCACTCATACAGGACAGTGTATGAATCACGAATCTAATCACCATCAATCTACCAAAAAGAGGAATCATCAAGACTATAGTAGACCGTGCTTGGAATTCTTTTATACAAAGGAAAGTCTCAAGAAAGAACTAGGCATCATTATAAAAGGTCTTCAGCGGAATGGCTACTCCAAAGTGACTTTGGCTTTGGCTAGAAGACAGCAAAAGCCTCGAAAAGAAGAAAAGTCATCACAACCAGTACTCGCACTTCCCTACGTCAGAGAATTATCGGAATGGATAAAAAGAATTGGGTTCAACTACAACATCGAAAAATACTTTAGGCCATCAAATGCAAATTCCAAGAATCAATTTATCACATACTCTGTGACTGGGGCAAATTCTATATCGGTGGAACTGAAAGGTCTTTGAAAGTCCGCATTGCTGAGCACAAGAAAAGCATATAGCGAAGAGAAACCGACAAATCGTGAACAGCAGAGCACGTTCAGACTCATCAACATAACGTCAAGTGGTCCCAAGCTATTATCCACAGGGAGGAACACTGGTTTAGGAGAAAGTTCAAAGAAGCTGCATATATGTTGTCCAATGACGTATTCAACTAAGCTAACGTAGAGATATGCAACATATGGAAACCCATAACCAAGTGAAAAACGGTCAACTTCCGCCAGACTGTCATCTCCCGGTAAACCGGTGAAGCAGAGAGAGGAAAGAGGGAATTAGTGAAAGCACTTGAATGACCTATATATAGGACTAGGAATAGTTCAGTCATCACCCGAAGATGATTGTGGATACTAACAATTGAAACGTCGTCAAGTAACTTGGCTTTGAATCTCTTAACTTTTTATTTTTTGTTTTTTATTTTTCGTTAAATTTTTCTATTTTCACTTATATTTTGGTATATTCAGATCAGAGTCCACAGAGTTTTGCTGGTATGAAAACAAGATNAATTTTATTCGTTCTTTCAGGAATTTCAAATCATATTAGACAATGGAAGTCCATAATAATGGAGTTCAGAATTTGCATTTTAGGATTTATTTCATATTGGAACTAATATTCTCATTTCTACCAACGCTCTGAATGAATAATATACAATTCTGAAAGGGGAGGAGAATAGTTGAAATTAGAGATCAAAAACAATGTATTAGACCCATGACGTTTCGACCCACCAAAATCTTTACCCAATTGTTCTTGAAGTACTACCCTAAAAATAAAGACTATAACATCTTCTTTCAGACAACATCTATGGGATTGACAGAAGACTCATCAAAGATAAAAGAGGCTTTACTTCCTCAGTCTTATATTTCAAGTAGAGTTGAGTTCAGCAATGCATTTGTGAATCAGCACCACCGATGAAACCTTTGCGGGTCGAAACAACGTTGTGTGATGTTTTTGGGCTTTACTTTTATATAGTTGTCTTGCATTGAAAGCTGCAATGAAAGACATAGGACGAATATCGCTCAGCGGTTGGCATTGCAAATAGACCATATTGGAAGCCTAATTTGTCTTTGAAAATTAGATTGCATCTTCTGTCGATCTCATAAATGATGTCTCGCCATCACTGATGTCTTCGCCTTCACTTTTTGAGAAGGAATATGATTAGGCTTACCTTAATTTCGTCATCCTCTCTTAATGCGCCCTCTGAAAAGTAGTTCTGTTACTCTATCACCCTCACGCCAACTCTGACTTCTAGACAATCATTTTTGGCAGGCTACATATCTATTACTACTTTTCCTCTTTTATTACTTACTAGAGGATTCACTATTAGGTGAAGTTTTCATCGGAATCAATCTTTGGCACCAGATTCAATTCAATTGTGTTCTTCCTAATATTCCTGGCATGTATTCTTGTTGTCATACTGCTCCATCGAGTTACATTCTTTATCAAGGTCGCCGTCTACTTTTCGGACTTGATTTACGATAAAACTTTCAAATGTTTGTTGATTTCCTCTATATAAATTCATTTTTATAAACAGTTACGCAAAACAGTTGACTAGTAGGGGAGACTGGGGCAAGATGAGATAGCTAAGACAAAACTCGTTATACAAGGAAAATTAAACTCTTTAATAACATTCTTTAACAAAAGAGGTAAATTGAAATAATACATTAACACAGGTACTTACCATGTCTGTACATCAGTTTTCGAATCAAATATCGCGTAAAAACACTTGCAATATCACTTTTTTCTCTCTGCAACGCAAAAACGAGTTCTAACCTGTTCGCTCTGCTTGGACACACTAGCGGAGAGTGAAGTTCGTGCAAATGGCGCTGTCACCACTCCAAACACGATTACTATTCACGCACATAAGCTTACTTCCCGTGCTGCCCCGAACTTCATCTTGCCCCGGTCTTCCCTATGCTGGGAATATTGATATATTTTTGGCAAAAAATGTTAGTTTCTACGTAAATTCTAAGAAATACAATACTTCACTTTATTCATGATTTTTAATGGGGGTTGTCTGTAATTAAATAAATATTCAAAATGTAATTTTTGTTTCATCAGTCATGATAGGTTGAAGCTGGGATGAATTTTTGAATTTGACAATCCTTAGAAAACTAGCCTCAGCGTGGACAAGCATAGATATATTCCCTTATGAAGAAGGCAAAAATACGAATTTCCATGATAAACAAAGGTCCCAAATGATGCGATGGTCTTTTTCAAAGCCAAGCTTCAAAATCGAACGTCAAACATGATTCTTCTTTTGTATTTTACTGCAGATTTCACTGCAGGGTAAATGATAACAGAGGCCTAAAACAAAATATTCTTTTGTTTTAGGCCTGTCATTGTCATTCTGATGATATTTTCTTAAGGAAAGATATCCATTTTTATTTGTAGACTTATTTGTCGTTAGCAAAATCACGAAATAACTTTATATCTCCTCATCAGTTTACCAGTGTTTGGAAGATGTCCTAAATCACGAGTATTGACGTTCTGCAACAAACTTTGAAACGGAATTCAAAATATATAATTTTCAATGGTTAAATTTTTTTTTGTTAATCAGTTGAAATACCTTTGAAATGAATATCCAAGATAAGTTTTCACAAAATCCTTGAAGGGTAGGTTAGGTCTGGAATCATTTGTGTTGAGGATCGCTACACCTCATCGCCTGATATTCTATCCAGGATAACACAGAGATCTATTTTGGGAGCTTCGTTGTTTACTATTCATACCACTGACATTATCTCGTCTATCAAGAATTGTAAAATGTAGTTAATGCTGACAACACCGGTTATATATGCAATTTGAATTTAGATAATGCTGAACCATAAAATCTATATGATGTTGATTTTGATTCAATCAATTGTTTTGAAGTAAACATGATTTGAAACCTGATGTCAGTAACACAATAATGATGCATTTTGGAGCTTACAAAATCGTTTCCATTTGCAACGGAGCCGTGATATTTTGACTCCTGTGACTATCCAGGGGTGATGCTCTGCACTGAACTCAGATTTACTGATCATGTTGATAATAATAATAAGCCTTCGTGTCACTGGAACTTTTATGCTGCAATTGTTTCATTTTCAGTAACTCTCTTGAAAATGCTTTGTAATATATTAGTGCTGTCATTTCAATACGTGGACCATACTCTTATAGTTCTGATAGAAAAGAATATAGATAAAAGGTTCAAAATTATTTTTGCCATACAATTTATGGTATTCATTAGTATGATTTCATTTCTGATGTCTTGAAAAATTCCCTTTGGCTCAATATGAAAAACTCATCTATTCAGATTGCTTTCTTCATACAGTTCGTTATTGTTTTAAGCTCATTTGTAAAAAATATTTTCAACTTTTTAGTTCGATCTCCTCTAGAAGCGTGTTTTTTAGTTTTTTAAACTATATTTATTTTGAGGTATCGTTACTGTTTTTTTTCTATCACATTCATGTCCTTGTAATTAAAAAAAGGTTTCCGTTGGTTAGTATGAGTGTAGCACTGAGCTAGACATCGCCAATGTGTACCCATAATTCCGTAATTCCTGTAATTTTTTTTGTACAAAACCGATTCATTATTATCATTATCCTTTTTTTTTCAGATACAATCGAATAAACTTGACTATATAGTAAGACTAGATTGTTTGTCGACTCCTAAACTGTATGAAAGTGATTCCCAACCAAAGTATTCTATTATTGAAACGGATTCAGATTATCCAGCTGGATATGCAAGGATCAAGCTGCATACATCAACATTCAAGATTTGGGGAGACTACACTAACTCGAATGGATATTTACGAAGGTAAAGTTTTTGTGTCAAATCATGACGCAAAAGAAACACTCTACAGTCGGAATCATTCAAAATTATTGTGCCGCTGGTAAAATCTATCAGGAATTTCAATTCATCCAGAATCGAAGTTTTGTCCGTTTATATTAGTCTACTTTGAACTGTAATATCTCAGTGAATACTTATTCAATTCTTCCGAAATAAGCGTCGTTTGAATCAGTGCACTTTTTTTATCAAAGGAAAAAACGCAAGCACTACAGGAAACTCCTTAAGGCGCTCTCAGAGCGGTGCCTGGGCGAAAGTAGCGATTCATATTGGATTTGAATCGCTGGAGATTAAATCCATTTGGAAAAACGTTCTCGGGAAGTTTATTCCACATAAACGCAGTTTCCCAGATGAAAAAGTTCTTGAACAGTGAAGTTCGAGGTGGTTGAACCTCAAAACGATGAGCAGCACCGTCGCGTATTTCTGATATGTATCGCTCTTGGTGGAATCAAATGTGCCAAGTCACTTGAACACTTGCCGTGAAAGTATATAATATATACTTTCTATATTATAGAGGAGAGACAAATCTCCAACCCTTCTTCGATGTTCCAGGCTATCACGTAATGTTCGCGTCTACAATCAGGCGGAGGGCTGTTTTCTGGATGGAATCCAGCAACTTCAGGGTATGCTTGGGGGAAGAGCTCCATACATGAGAACACTACTCCAAAGAAGGTCGGATCTGAGTTTTATAAAACGTCAAAAGTTGCTGAGGTGTGTACAGTTTTCTGGTTTGAAACAGTGCTCCAAGCTTTTGGGAAGCAGCCTCTGCAATTCCAGCGACATGATTGTGCCAATACATATTGGTGTTCATTTCAACCCCCAACAAACTTATCGAAGCAGAAAGCGGAAATGTCTGACCTGCCATTATTATATCCGGTTCGGAGACATTCATCTTCTTGGAGAAAACCGATGCCTGGGTTTTTGTGGCATTGAATTGAACCTGGTTATTTCCACCCCAATTCGAAATCACTTCTAGATCCCCATTAAGATGCGCAACCTTCTGCTGCCGGTGAAGATGTGCCTCCGTATCCAATGTCCTGGAATCCAAATGAAATGACGAGACAAGTGTGCTGTCGTCAGCAAAGTAATATATTGGATTCTTGTTTTTTTTTTTCAATAAGTCGTTGATATACAATAAAAAGAGGGTTGGAGACAACATGGATCCCTGGGGAATACCAGCGTTGATGGTGAAAGTGTTTGAGAGATATCCGTCGACGGCCACTTGTAGGGAACATTATTTAAGGAAGATGAAAAACCATACACAAAAATCATCCAACAAGCCATAGCATCGAAGTTTAGCCCGCAAACACTCATGCCACACACGGTCAAAGACCTTAGAAATATCAAGCGCAACAGCTCTTGATTCTTCATGTAACTCGATTGCGTTATTCCAAATATGGGTCGTCTGTTGATCTTTGTTTCCGAAAGCCATATTGATGATCGCTCAAGATGTTGAAGCCTTCAAAATATTTGAAGATATGGTAGTTCACGACTTTCTCTATGATTTTTAATATCCCTGAAAGAAAAGCGACTGGTCTATAGTTATTTCAAATATTTTTCTTGCCTATTTTAGGAATAGGCTGAACGCGAGCAATCACCCAAGGCGTAAACCCCTTTATTATAAGACAGGTTGATAAGTCAGCAAAATACTGATGCGAATTCATTTGTCAATGGTACACAAGCTGATCAATTGAGTCAACATGAGAATTGTGTACTTGCCTACAAATGCCGTTTTTGCAGGATTCTGATCGACGATGGTTCTGGTGAGATGATGAGAAAGTTATCGAAGTGCTTGAAGAGATGGTACTCATTTGGCGACAGCTCTGGGAAGTATGGTGGGTAAGGCAGAACTTCGACGTCCAATTCGTTTAATTTTCAGACGGTGATTTGTGGAAGGTGCGGACGGGCGTTTTCGAAGAGCAGAATCAGAACTCTTCTGGTGAAAAATGCGGACTGCTAACGCAATTTTCGGTACATGCTGTCGATTTTTTGTCAGTGTTCGCGAAGTCTTTGCAAATACTAATACCATCGCCACAACAAAAACACTACAAGCTCGGATAATTCGCGAGGCCATGGAAATCAGGAAGCGACCTTTCTGCCTGAAAAAACGTGATGACGGTCAGAGACTTCCAACTGCCTGGAAACCCCTTATGTCCCGATGCTCACTCCCCATCAAGACGCCCATCGACACCTCAGTTCAATCTAAGAAGTAGGCAGATTGAGGCCCCGGCGTCAAATCACATCAAATTCTTGAAAATGGCTCCAAAATGGGACCCGAAACGTCAAATACAAAATCCAGACGCGGTTCAACCCAACATACTGCTGCCTAGGGAAAAGCCATACACAAAAATCATCCGACAAGTCATAGTTTGGCCAGCAAATACTCATGCCACACACGGTCAAAGGCCTTAGAAATATCAATCGCAACAGCTCTTCATTCTTCATGTTACTCGATTGCGTTATTCCAAATATGGGTCACCTGTTGATCTTTGTTTCCGAAAGCTATATTGATGATCGCTCAAGATGTTGAAGCTTTCGAAATATTTGAAGATATGGTGGTTCACGACTTTTAATATCCCTGAAAGTAAAGCGACTGGTCTATAGTCATTTGAAATATTTTTCTTGCCTATTTTAGGAATAGGCTGAACGCGAGCAATCACCCAAGGCGTAAACCCCTTTATTATGAGACAGGTTGATAAGTCAGCAAAATATTGATGCGAATTCATTTGTTAATGGTACACAAGCCGATCAATTGAGTCAACATGAGAATTGTGTACTTGCCTATAAAGGCCGTTTTTGCAGGATTCTGATCGACGAGATGGTGAGATGGTGAGAAAGTTATCGAAGTGCTTGAAGAAATGGTACTCGTTTGGCGACAGCTCTGGGAAGTATGGTGGGAACTTCGACGTCCAATTCTTTTAATTTTTCGATTTTTTGTCAGTGTTCGCGAAGTCTTTGCAAATACTAATACCATCGCCACAGCAAAAACACTACAAACTCGGATAATTCGCGAGGCCATGGAAATCAGGAAGCAACCTTTCTGCCTGAAAAAACGTGATGACGGTCAGAGACTTCCAACTGCCTGGAAACCCCTTATGTCCCGAAGCTCACTCCCCATCAAGACGCCCATCGACACCTCAGTTCAATCTAAGAAGTAGGCAAATTGAGGCCCCGGCGTCAAATCACATCAAATTCTTGAAAATGGCTCTAAAATGGGACCCGAAACGTCAAATACAAAATCCAGACGCGGTTCAACCCAACATACTGCTGCCTAGGGAAACTTATCCGAACACGCGATACACATACTAGGTTCACAGTTATTTAATATTTTATATTTATTGTAGTACCGAATAATTGTTAACAACATATTGTTGAAAATCATGCCCTGAAGAAAATAACGCCAGCCGCCGCTGGCAGCCATAAACCAATTGTGACGAAGCTAACAGCGTGCGAATGTAAGATGTCCGCTGCCGCTCTAGACTTCGACTTCGAATGGAATTCTGACGAATTGTCTATCGCCTTCTATTACGATACATAAACGCTAGCCATGAGCATATCGAGACAGTCAATTGAAAGTAACAGTGCGGTACGCGAAGCGATCTAGTATCATCCTAATCTACTTCTTTGAAGATGATCACTTGGTTATCGAAACACGTTTCGAGGTATTTAAAACAACGATTTGGTATTGGGAAAAAACTCCAGTAATATTCATTTACAAAATATAAGAATACTTTTTGTTATGAAATAAAGTCACATGAAGTTCATAAAAATATTTTCAGCAATCATGACAGATCGTCATTCTTTTTTATTTATATTCTTTATATTCTTATATTCTTTCTACTTATTATTCTTTTCTATTTTTATAGAGATAAAGTTCAAGCGAGGTTTGTTGAACTACTGGCGATGGCCGCTTCGAAAGAAGTTCCTAATTCTCCTCTTCATGTTGATGAATCCATTTTATGTGGCATTCCAGGAAAAGTAATGGATGCTTTCGCTGCCTATAACGTCTTGAAGGCTCCACCAGAAAAACATGTTTATTACGGACCAGGTAATAAAAATACTATATGTGATAGAATCGGCCGACACTGGATGAAAATCCATAACGTATTAAAAAAACACTTCATTATGATATTTTCACTAAACACTTTCACAAAAACGCAACACGTGTTTCGTTGTACAATAGCTTCTTCAGTCGTGTCTATTATGACTAACTATTGTAGGTATAGCGATACACGTGTTGCGTTTTATTAAAACTGTCCAGTGAAAATCTCACAATGAAGTGTTTCTTGAATATAAAAATACTAATTCATCGACATTTTTTCGTGTGTGGATGTGTACAAGTTGGGGGAAATATGAAAGATATTCATAGTATTCTTAAAGCACATAATTTTGACTGGTCAGAAAATTGTTTCATCTTTTCCAATCCATTTTGTTGAGAATATTGCATCTGAGTGTTGCCTTATAATGGGCTTGTTTCATGCTATTGAAAATGATACTGGTTTGCTTATAGATTGATTGAGTTCGGGGTATATTATACTTATCAAGCCTAATCGATGCCAATACCTCTTTATATTTGCAGAAAAAGGAAAAATTCAAGAAGCAACAGTTTAAATTGGCCGCGTGTGTGTGTTAACCAATAAAATTGATCGTGTCTACAGCGGTGTTGCCAAGTGTCAATTATTTTTACAAAAATATGAAGTTATTGAACATTAGAAAGAGTACATTGTCTCATACATTCAAGAGAGATAGCTGACTGGGTGGCAGTATGTCTAATATATAACGTTGAATTTCTTATTTTTGGTGGGTGTTATGAATGCATAATTGATTTATTTTATTAGGGTTCATGAGCATTCGAAAACCATTTGAAAATATAGCTCGTTAAATTCCATTTAGAACCATGGTTTCCGAGTACATTTCATTTCATATGGAGAATTTTTTACTACTGCCGGAGATATTTCAAAAATAACGTTTTTATTGCGTTTTGTGTTATTTTGATGGCATGTATAATTAATTTTCCTTTCCAATGCATTTCTTACACTTTTTTCTTAGATTTAGTTGTCGGAAGTGAGTGTGATTTTACTTTGAATCACGAATGAATCAGAAACTGCTTATACGCTTTGTGAATTTTACAATTTGGCAATGTTCATTATTTGTATTGTTGCTTTTGGTAAATCGAACAAGAAGCGGGACTAGGCCCGTGACGTCACAAGCCGATTTTTAATAAATAATTACGGGAAAACAACGCTATTTAGAGAGCTGAAACAAAGTACACAATTTTTCAATTAGAAATTACTACCGAATGAATTGTGAACCAAAAATCATGACAAAAGCCCATTGCTTTATTAGGTATGTGTGCACTGGCACAATCATGTTGAAAATACTGTATTTCAGGACGGTTTTTCAGTTGCAATACATCTGACTAGTCATCAAACCCGTTGGATGTAGATGCATTTCAGCATTCAAATGATCATCGTGAAAGAAAGAACCTAGTTATGTTTGTTCCCAAAATTCCCAAACATTCATTCCGAACCTTCCCTGGAAACTGGTTTCTCTATGTGGATGATTCGTTAGGTCGTTTCAATAAAAAAAAATCCTATGAACATAGGTCCGGATTTGCTTCTTTCTGAGATACAGGGCGTTGAAGTTTGAAAAAAACGCGATTTATAAAATATTATAAATATACTCACACCGAATTGATTGAAGTTTGCTACAATTATTTTTGGTCATGAAGTGCTTATTTAGCCCTAACGTTATTGAAGTTTTTAGGTCCAGTGAAGTCTCAGTGGACACCAGAGCCGATAATATTGGAAAAAAAAGTTCGCCACTGATTCACTGATCAAGCAATTCAAAATACAACTTTCTCGTCGCTTCTTTTCGGAAAAAAATCACTTTTGAAAATTATCCATGAAAAACATAGAATAAAAACCAGATGAAAATAATAGACAATTTCGACCTTAGAGTAAATGAGCAAAATGTCCACCGTCTGATGAAATACCCGACTGCAATCGATTTGTCATTTATTGTATGACACGTTCAAAAATACCTGGATTATTCCTTATGACATTCCAATTGTCAATTATTCGATTCTTCAAGTCATTCACAGGAGTACAGGAGTTTTATGGATAAGAGCCTTCAGATTACCCCATAAATAGAAATATAGAGGATTCATATCAGGACTGCGAGCTGGTCAATTTTGAGGTCCTGCATGTCCAATCCAGCGATTAGGGTAGGTGATATCGAGATGCTGACGAACAAGAAGATTAAAATGAGCTGGAACCCCGTTGTGTATAAACCAGATGTACCGGTACGGTACTTCTTCTAACAAAATGGGTAAATGATCTCGCAAAAGGTCCGTGTATGATTCACCTGTTAATCTTGCTGGTAAAAAAAAGGGGCCAATTAGATAGTCACCAATCATTCCTACCCGTTCAGCAAAAATTGTTGCTGAAAATTAATTTTTTCTAATAACCTGAGGATTTTCGTCGGCTCAAAAATGGTCATTGGGAAAGTTCATCATAGCATCTCGTGAAAACTTTGCTTCGTCCGTGAATAAAATATCTGGTAAAAAATTATTATTGTGTGCCATCGTATGAATGAACCACCTGCAAAATATCAATCTTGGGTGAAAATCTTGTGGCAGTAGAGCTTGGACCCCCTAAATTGAATATTGGTATAGAAGGTTTCTTTTCAAAACTGTCCATACGGTTTTTGGGATGATTTCCAGCTGCATGGCAATCTTCCTGGTACTTTTTGAATGATCTTCTTCTATCGCATCAAGTATAGCTTCTTCTAGTTCAGGCATTGTTACATGTAGCTTTCAAAATGTTTCAGCACATGGAATTACTCTGTTGAGATATCTGTCCTGGTAAATTCTCCGTGATTTTTTCGTATTTCCATTTGCTAATCCATAAATGAAATGCATGTCAGCCATTTCAGCGTTAGTAAAATCATTCATGATGTAATCACTGCTAATTGACAACTCTGATATGACAACACTATCACTGTCAGCTGTTCTCCAAAGCAGGTGTTCATGATGTGCAAAGCGACTTCATTTTTTTTTTCGAAAACGAAGCTAGATATGAAGAAAACACCGGAGATGAAAAAGTTGTATTTTCAGTTGATTAACCTGAAAAAATGAAAAACTTCGAAAACAAGTCAGTGGCGTACTTTTTTTTCCCAATATTGTTGGCTACGGTGCCCACTGAGACTCCACTGCACCTAATAATTTCAATCTAGTTAGGGCTAAATAAGCGCCTTATTAATTAAAATAACTGTAGCAAATTTCAACCAAATCGGTATAAGGATATTTATGATATTTTATAAAAAGTGCTTTTTTAAACTTCAACGCCCTGTATCTCAGAAACGAGGCAACTCCTGCCCAATAATCCTAGATGCTTTCAGGAGTCTAGAAATATGAAAGTGTGGTGCGAGAATCATGAAATGTGGCGAATCAAACGGAAATTCAGCGGAAAATTGATAAACGTTGAAGTTTGACTAAAAGTTATAAAGAATATTTCTGTCAGCAACAACAACATATAACAAGTTTGATTCAACAAATCACTCCACAAACTACTTCTCTATGGGTTAGAACACTCTTAAGAATAATTTTTTGAAATGTGCTCATTCAACAATTTTTTATAAATAAACAGGTACTTCAAAATTATGACAATATCAAGTGGTCAATAAAAATAAGTTCGATCTTTTGAGAGGTAATAAAGTACAGTAACGGAAATGACTTACAGCTTTTCGGAAAGTCACATTGTGTAGTAACTAGGAGAAAGTTCGTATAATATCTTGGAAATGGGTCAATTTTCCTAAATCAGCATCCGACCTACGAAAACTACATTGACAGTTCTAATCGGATTTCCGAACACAACTCTAGTGGAATAATCACGATGACCCAGTTGTGAACTCCAGTAATACTTTCTTTTTTTATCAGGTGGTAATGTGCCAAGATTTCCCGATCCCAGAGACTTCAGACTCGCAATAGTCGATGAACCAAGCGGAATAAGATTGAGACTAGAATTCCTGTCGCCGGCCCTCTCCAGCGTGTCCATGGATATTAGGATTTTAGTGGCCATAGGCATCGATGCATGGCCTTCCTCGACGAATTTTCCGATGAGAATTTCTCTGGGGCATTCTGACTGTTTACTTTATCATCAAGCTGCACAAACGGTATGATGGAGTTTTATTTTATATCGGGTTCCATTCAAAAACTCAGACTCAGATGATGCTAACTTGGTTAGCGGAACGAGGGACGAGGGAAAGTGTTTACTTTTCTGATTGATTCGGCCGTTACTTGATGAAGATCCATAGTAATTTCACAAACTACACTTAAACGATTTGATCTCCACTAACTAGATNGACCATTAATATGCTGCCTGACTTGGCCGTTTCTACCAAGTCGCCGTAAAACACTGTAGCCTAATGGGCTCATTCTGTTTTTCTTCCATATTTTTCATGACACCCATTCCAATAATATTGTGCTCTATACTAGTTTTGTATAAGTCCCTTGCTGAATGCAAGATTGTCCATTAATCGTTTGCCTCTTATGATCCAATAATGCCTCAGATTCGGGCTCCGTTGTACAACCCTATTTTATTCAGGTGTGCTTTCGATGAACAATGTCTGATGAGTTGACCTATAATTGATCTCTGCTTTGTTGAAGCGGTTTTTCAGTTATTTTCTCTGACGGTCCCTTTATGAAGGTTTTTCCATGTACTTTCACTAGTATCTTTTTTCAGTACTCTCAATGTTTCTTATAAACCCGCTTTCCGATCTGGTTCTGTACCAAAATCTATGGTACTCCCACAGCTAGCTCTGGGCCTATATATAGAGTGTCTGGCACACTTACCAGTTTTTTCGATGTGTCCTGACACCCAGTATATAATCAATTTATTCCTTTCCGCCAGATTCGTCAGTTCTTCGCGGCATTTCCAGACCAGTCGCGATGTCACTTTCAGGTTCGTCAGTGCCTCAAGTGCAACTTGGCTGTCTGTGAGAATGTTAATCCATCCATTTATTTGAGGCTTTGAGTTAATATATCTTAGATCGTAAGATTATATACACTTAAGCCTGGAAGACTGATGTGCTGTAAAATACAGGCTGATTCACGGTGGATGCCTCATCAGACGTTTCTGCCGAAACAGATACCGGTACACTTTGCAAATTCAATGGAGAGCATATTCGGACATTCTCTACCCAACTAAAATATCTTCGAATTTTACTGGAGTATTTTCCCAACACCAAACCGTTATTTCAATACCTTGACATGTGTTTCAAGATAAAGATTAAACTGAACTTATACATATCATAGATACCTACCATAGATACCAGATATAATAATAATAATATCGTCTTTATTATTTCATTACAAAAAATAAGAAACAGAAATTAACATAATTAACATAGGCTGGGCCTATGGCGGGAAGCGCTTACTGCGCAACCTCTGCTGCAGGCAACAAGTGATGCAATTGAACCCAGGTTTGTGTTTAATAAACCCTACAAAATACAAATTAAGCAGAACACAGAGTCAGATGCTTCAAATGCAATACGGATTTATACAGATGGCTCAAAAACCAAAGAAGGCTCAGGATGTGGAGTGTACTCCAGATCACTAAGCCTAAGGATTAAGTGGGGAATGGGAAGAAATACCAGCGTGGTCCAAACAGAACTGGCTGGTATCTCAATCGCCACAAAAGAAATAAC